CCGGCAGGCCTGGGGCTGTTGATCTTTGATTGAACTTCAGCCCCACTAAGATTGAGTGCATGTTGTGTTCTTTTAATTTGCTTTATCCTGTATTTTAAATATTTTAATACTTTTTAAATTGTTTTTATGTAAGCCGCCCAGAGTCCTTCGGGATTTGGCGGCATACAAATCCATTAAAACCTTAAACCTTAAATGGTTTTACTTATTGTCTGAAGCATCAGAATTTGGTCAGGAATAGTGAGCCTTTAGAAGAGATGTTCAAATTATAATACTGTATCAAAAATAAACTTTAGCCGAGTTTCCAGAAATGTAATATTGTAGGCAAATGAAATGAAATTATATCAATATTGAAAATGTGGGCTCTAAAGTGATAGCACTACCAAAAGAGATACACATCAAAATTAGGGAATAGAGAGTATAAAAAAGCTGATGACATGGTTTCCCTGTAGGCATCCTTGACTTATGACCACATTTGGGGCTGGAATTTCTGTCATTAAGCGGTGCAATTATGTGATTCATTTAACAAGTGCAATCATTGCAAAAAAAAATAATAGCTATCCTTTTTGCCATGATGGTTAACTCAACCACTGAGGTCATTAAATGAATCACACAGACATTAAGTGTATCCATCTTCCCTCATTGACTTTGCCAAAAGCCGTCTGGGAAGGTCACACATGACCCTGGGATACTGCAATTGTCACAAAATTATGCAGGTTGCCAAATGTCCTAATACAATCACACAATTGCAGGGACATTGTGACAATCATAAGTGTGAGGACCAATTGTAAGTCACTTTTTCCATCACTATTGAAACTTTGAATATTCTCTAAACAAATGGTAATGTCAGAAATTACCTGTAGGTATTATGAACAAAAATTATTTCAGAAAAAGGCCTCAAAATTATGCATATCATGAATACAACATAATTAGAGGTGGAGTTACTAATATGGATATATACTCTAATTACAGGTACTAGTCAACTTCAAAAGGAGCTGGAATTGACACTCCACTGTATGCATTACTGATTATGGTGTCAAGCATCACATTAATAGATCTTTTTCTGCTATTCATTATAGGAATCATACTTTTATCATACTTCTGTGAAAGTCTGAAAAATGGTGCCACTGTTTTAAAGAATCCACTCATTAAAGTTAATGTAGGCCTTAAAGCAAAACCAGACAGAAGCCTAAAAAA